TTCTGTGTATCAGTCAGTTCAAAGCCAGTAAAACTTAAATTGTCAAACACTGAATAGAGCACAAATGTGCTTTTCAGAGTCTAGTTTGTCATTAAGATGGAACCATACATGTTTCCTAATAAAAACTGCCTCTTATTTAAAGTTGGAAAAACCTATAAGATCTCTCAAATACTTCTAGGATTCTTTAGCCGTTTCATAGCCTTTAATATATATCATCTGTTTATGTGAGAAGCTTTATGGAATTATTATCCTATAGAATCCCATTTTCCTATTTAGCTTTACCCTCTGCTTCTGTTAGTCTTTGTTTTTGAAAACAACCATGCACTTTTAAGGGTCCAAGGTTAAATTGTAGCATCACTTTCCATGGAGAGAAATTCAGAGATGTTAACCCTAAAATTGTTTTGCTGTGATCAAGGATCCATTTTCCCTCTTTCCCTTCCTGAGCAAGTTTGATAAGGAATCTCAGAAAAATAAATAATTCTTTCTCTTCAGCCCGTTTTGAGGCATTTTTGCTTTTTAAAAATGGTCTGGGAGAGAAGAAAAATATAGCAATCACTTTAAAAAAACTTAGTTATATGTCTCTGTGCTCATAAACTGTTGCAGAGTTTTGAATTTCTTGCAAAATTCTTTTTTCTCTGCAGCAAAAGTACAGAGTTCCACAGACAACAACAGCTACAAGTTCCCCAAAATCCGCCCCTTTCTCATTAACTGGCACTTAAGGTCTCAATAACTCACCCTGAGACAGTGGTGGATTAACCATTAAGCACAATAAGCACGTGCTTAGGGGCATCAAGGGAAGAGGGGACACCACAGAAATTTTCCATAGCCAAATTTACCATATGATGCAATACTGCAAATGGTGCAGCCATGAAAAAAATTACATACAAATATATACAATAATAACAAGAGCACTCAGAGAGTGCAGACCTCTGCCGAACATCATGAAACTGAAGGGGGAAAAATCCCCCACAAATGAAAACAGGGGAAACTTTGTATGCAGTCTGTGAAACTTGTATACAATCTGTACAACGCCAGTAGAAAAGAAACACACACATACTCTGACAAAAACATAACCTCCTCAGCGGAAGTTAAAAGAAAATAGTAATGATAGCGGTTAATGATATATATTAATCTTGGGAATACAACAAAATTAAAATCTGGTAAATTTAACTGCCCCACACGGAGGCTCACATGATCGTTCTTGTGTAACTTCTAAGTCTTGTTCATGTCGGGTGTTCCTGAGAATGAACCTGTGCAGAGGCAATAGTAGCTCAATGTTGACACGTCCAGCGTGTCAACAGGCAACAACACACGTGCCAGCCTGACCCAGGAATTGCCTGTGGTTGCAGGCTCAGGCCCTAACCTGAGCAGCAGCTACTAGGCCACTCATGAGGGGCCCACCTGGAAGCCTGGAGGGAAGGCCTATGTAAGGATTGGTTCTCTCTCCCAGACTTTCCCTCACCAATGCAAGTGTCTTCTGCTTTGGCCTGAGTGTGCAACCTTGTTCCAGCCTTGCCTTGTTCCAGGTTCCTACCCTTTTGTTCCTGCCTTGCCTGCCAGCCTTATTGTTCCAGCTCTGTTACCCTGTGTGGTGGATTGGGCCCTGATGCCCTTGCCAGGTGGCAAAAGGTCAGCGAGTAGCTTCCAGACTCTTGACACTTTGTAAGTAAGCTGATTCCTTTTTTTTTATAACACTGACAACAAATAATGTAATTAATGTTTCATGATTTTGTGGAAGTGCTTATGAAATGTTGTGAAACTATGCATGCATTTATTGCATAGTGGTGGACTGGTGGTGATAACTGAATGTGCATTTCATTACATCTGTCAATTTATGTGTCAGACCTCAAGAACCAAGATGAAATGTGTTCAGTTAAGTGGTGCACAAAAGCGCAAGTATCAAAAAAGAAACAAGAGAAGATTTTGGATTTAGAATCCAAGACTGCAAAGGTGTCTAATTTCTTCACACAAGTTCCACAACATGATATACCTATTCCGGGTCAAAACCAATCATCATCAGAAGTGGACACAAATACAGTAAATTCAACTTTGATCACTTCAGAATCAAAATATGATGACATTAGAATCACTGAGGAGTCAGAAGCAGGTTCATCATTATTGATCTCATTTTGCCTGTAAATTCTCTTGATACCTCTACTGTAAATGCTGAATCAAGTTACTTTACAATACATTCTGGGGCTGAAATAATTGCTGAAAATGAAAGTTTAGTGGACCATGTTGATGGTGGTGAAATGCTTCTTTCTGCAAAAGATGAAGTAAATCTCAATGTAGCAAAGGATCCAGGGTTGCGGCTTGATTTCTCTGCTGATTATGTGGCTTATTGGATTGCTTGTGGACCCAGTGACTGTCACCACGACACTGGGCCATTTGACAAGTCTTGCCAGCATTTTAGTAGTGGCAAACCAGTAAGGTATTGTTCGCAGAAACTTTTTGTTGGGACAAAAGCCAATGGTGAGAAATACAAAAGAGAGTGGTTACTATAGTCACCATCAAGAGGATCGGTTTATTGTTTTGTTTGCAAACTGTTTCCTCCTAAAAAATTCTTGAATTTTCTTATAAGAGAAGGGTTCAGTGACTGGCAAAGTACTATTATAATTGATAATCATGAAAAAAGCGCTACTCACTAAGACTCTATGCTAACATACTTAACTCAAGACAAGGTGTGGGGTTGGGGCAACAGTTGGAGAAACAAATCCAGGAAGAATGTGATTACTGGGAACATGTCTTGAGGCATGTCATAGCTGTTATTTGTATGTTAGCTGAACGCGGCTTGGCTTTTCGAGGAACAGAAGAAAGGTTTGGATCATTACAAAATGGGAATTTCTTAGGGCTACTTGAATTCATAAGCCAGTTTGATCCATTTTTAGCAGGCCACATTTCGAAATATGGAAATTCAGGCAAAGGAAATCCTGCTTACCTGTCCAAAACCACCTGTGAGGAATTCATTCAACTATTGGCACAAAAGGTCCATAGGCTCATTGTTGATGAAGTAAAATTTTATTATTATTTTAGTTTGTCAGTTGATTCAACACAAGATCTATCATATATCGATCAGTTAAGTGTTGTACTTAGGTACTAAAAAGATGGCCAGCCTATTGAATGCTTTTTGATCTTTCTGGAAATGAAAGGCCATACTGGTAAGAAAATGGCAAATCAGGTGTTGCAGTAAGCTAAACTTTTCAAAATGTAAGCATCAGATAACGCTACTAACATGTCAGCAAAAAGAAAAAGAAAAAGAAACAAACAAGTTTGCTATACATGTGCCCTATGTAGCTCCTTCACTAAATCTGGTAGACCAAAGTGCTATTGACTGCTGTCAAGAGGCAGTTAATTTCTTCTCTACGGTGCAGTCTATACCTTTTTTTCTGTGTCAAGCAGCCACTGGAAATTTCTTAAAGGTTTTATTGGAAATGAAAATGTCTTAAAATCCCTCTCTGATACCAGATGGAAGGCACATGCTATGGTAACTGCAGCAATTTTGAAATCTTTCCTTAAAATTCTAAAAGCATTAGAACATATAGCTAAAAACCAGTCACAAAAGCAAGACACTAGAAGAGAAGCAAATAATATTGCAGATAAGACGCAAGAGATAGAATTTGTTTTATGGTATGTTAAATTTTTGGAATGAGATTTTGCAGAATTTTCAGAGTAAGCCAAGTTCTACAAAAAGAGGATGTGAACTTGGAAACATGTGCAGATCTGTATGTATCATTAGTTGACCAACTGTGCACTTCATGAGATGAATTTGAAAGATATTTGAAAGCTTCAAAGGAAATGCTACCAGATGTTGATTACAAGGCAGCTATAACTCGCATACATATCAGAAAGAAGGTATTCAATGACAGAGATGCACCAGAAGTACATCTGAATGCCAGGTACAGACATTGAAGTCAAACTCAGAATCCGACAAAGACTGAACTATGATTTACTGAGCCCCAGAAGTTTGGATAAACAACTGAAAAGTTTTAATGTGGCTCTGAAATGAAGTCAACATTGGCAGAAGGCCTTGAAGGTGGAGGAGGGCATTCCAGAAGAAGGACATCACTAGAAATAGGGACACATTTCATACACATTTCATACATCCTGACACAGAACAGTTATTTGACTAGCAATATGCACAATGTTATTAGAGTGTGTGTCTGCGTATGCGCGCGCGCGTACACACACACACACACACACACACACACGAGTCAGCCTCTCTGACAAAGTGTGTCTATCTACTAGCCAAAATTTTCCCCAATTCATTCCTAGAACTACAGCTATCTGTAAGTACCGGAGGTCTCCAAAATCCTAGGCAGTTCTTTATTATAGGCCTTCGAATAGCTAGAGAGGGCTATATATTCCTTAGAAATGGAAAATAAATAAAGCTAGAAGAGCTCTTTAGACAACATTGTTCAGATGCCTCAGATTCAAATTCAGGGAATTGTTGCCAATTAAATTAACAGAGTCACACATTGAGAGGATTTTCTCAGCAACAATCTCATCATATCATTTCATCCATAACAATAACAAGCAAGCCTCGCTGTAGTACAGAGTGGTCTCTAATATTGCTTCTGCTTTTCCCCTTTGATTTCTTTGGTTTATAATAAATTGAAGATTTTCCATTCAAAAAGGTGGATAATGAAATTTAGTTTTGGTGATGTTAATAGAAATATGTGAAGAATTGGAAGGAAACATGAGCAAGAAGATAGTCTAAATACAGTTTTCTTCTACAAAATAGTTTTTGTAGGGAAAAAACATTCCTATGAAATGTACATTTTCATTATTTTTGGCTATATGAACAGAAAAAAAGACGAATCTCCTTCAAACTGACCTAAAAGACAGATGTTCTCATGCTAATACTAGTCCATACATAGAGGAATTAGACATTTATATATCATTTTTCTTTCAGACATACTGTATAAGTTGCTATAGTGAATAACTGATTCATTCCTAATACTAGTGTATGTTATATATTGATATAAGATAGCTATACTTACCTCCAATTCTGGCATTAAATGCAATTCCTACTACACAGTGTGAGTTGTTTGCTGTAGCTGCTACTTCTCCAGCACAACGAGTTCCATGCCTGTGAGCAGAAAAGAAAATGACTTACGCTAAGCCATAATCTTCATTTTGTGATCAAAGCTGCACTTTATTATTAGAATTATGATTTTGCTTTTAATTCATCAGTATAAATGTTTTAGTCAAATGCAGCATGAAATCAGCACATCAAATTGATACTACAAAGGAAAGGCATTATGCATCTTAAATGGGCTCTTTAATGCAACCCAGGTGAGAGCTAAAACCATGGATTTTAAAAAGCATTCTTAAGAATAATTGAATAATGGTTCTAACACAATTTAGAAACGACCCCTATCCCTGCACACAATTGCTTCAGTTCACTCATTTCTTATAGGCATGAGAATTCCATTGAGCAAATGAAGTTACCATACCTGGAAATAAATTCATTGCCATAGAGAAGACAAAATTATATTAATGAGACTGCCTACAAATAATGGCGAAAATCCTGTTTGTGTAAGGTTATGCAGTGCAAACTGGAAAGTATCCTCATCAAGCATCGGTAATTTTTAATTTAAATTAATCAGAATCTTCCCGTCTCCATTTTTAGGTTTTATGGCTCCTTAGGCCTCCCTTTTGCCCTGGGGTGGCCTTTGAGAGCCTTGGGACAGGGAGGGAGTAACCTCTGATAGTCAAAACTTGCCATTCATGGCCCTGATCCTGTTCTTGGTGATCCAGTGGTGATTTTTGATGACTCACCCTCCCTGCACCTGTCCCAAGCCTTCCTCAGGGCAAAAACAAGCCTAAGCAAACCTCAGAACCTAAGAGATAGAAATAGAAAACTTTCACTTGTTTAAATTGATTATTTCTGGTGCCTAGTCCCAATTTATACCAGCTTAACAGGATTTTGCCCGTTGTCTTTTGCACATGCAATAGATCATGTCAATGCTGATTACGTAATTTGAGGCAATTCTCTGCCAAATCTTACACTATGTTACATTGGCAGAATTATGCAGAAGGATTTTGACTGAAATCTCTTTATGACAGTTTCCTGGCACCTTCAGCAACAGGAGGCATTAGGAGGATCCTGCCCTCCTAGGCCAGGTTGCGATGACCTCTAAAGAGAAGCAGGAATCAGGTGGCACAGAACTCAGATGGCTTACAGGTATCTCTAGTAAGAGCAGCCTTTTCAGCTGGAGTCTGTCAGGACTCTAACCTCCCAGGCTATTTGGGAGCTGGCCAGGCAGGGGACCAGGTATGGCAGAACTCAATAAGGCTAAATAAAGATAGAGATGGAACCACACTGCAGCCTGGCAAAGGACTAGCAATGCAATTTCCTGATGAAATGTTAAAGATCTTGCAGAAAGGTCTCTGCCAGAATGAGTCCAGACACATCACTATAAAGAGTAGGTTTAGGGACGGGAAAGAATGTTATTGGAGCTGAGATTCTTGATTGAGGCGTACATTAGTACACCTGCACTGAAGAACAGAGTGCACCTTGCTTCAGAAATCTACACATCTGCAAGGCTTGAGAAATAAAAAAACAGAGCAAACCCTATGTACATTTGAAAAACATCCATGAACACTTCTGTCAGTATGTGAGGGGAGCTAATGAAAGAATTTCTAGTCAGATTTGGGGATCAAAATCTGACCCCCAAATTCACTGATACAATCCACCCCTGCTTTAGAAGATATCAAAATTAGAGATCACGTGAGAGATCCCCAGGCACAGAACCCATATATGGGACTAGATCTGTTTAAGACACATGCAGACAGTGCTGGCTGTCCTACAGGTGCCTGAAAATATCTCCTTTCCATGATGAGCAAGCAGGATTCAGATCAGGACGCTATACATCCTGATCATGGTATAGTTTTACAACATCTGGTGGATAAATATTCATTTAAGACCAAAGGAGCACTATATACAGCCTTTGTTGATTTCAAGTATACATTTGATACGATTCCACGACACAGGCTTTGGCAAAAGTTGGAGACAACCAACATTGATAGGTGGCTCTTGCTCCTGATTCACTGCCTCTATGCAAAAACCAGGTTGAAGATGAGATGTAACAGGGCAAGTCACCTCATCAAGGCTATCCCCACATATGCTGGCGTTAAACAAGGCTGTGTATTGGCTCCCACTTTGTTCAACATCTATATTAACTTCTTGGTCAAGAATTTATCTGGAACCAACTTTCATCCCCCTAAACTAGCAGATAGACCCCTATCTACTCTTTTATACGCAGATGATGTACTTCTCTCATTAACCTGTGTTGGCTTACGGCGGTTATTAAGCGCCCTGGGCAACTACAGTGGTGCCTCACAAGACGAATGCCTAGCCAGACGAAAAACCTGCAAGACGATTGGTTTTTGCGATCGCTATGGTGCCTCACAAGACTGTTTCCTTTATGGCCATGCTTCGCAAGATGGTTCCCCCATGGTTTTTTCCCCCAAGACTGATGCCTCGCAAGACGAATAAATTTCACTCATCTTGCGAGGTTCCCTATGGGAACCTCTCAAGACAATTTTTTTTGCAACAGAGCGCTTCTCAAGGAATGAATTACATTCGTCTTGCAAGGCATTTTTGCAACACAGCGCTTCTCGCGGAACGAATTACATTCATCTTGCAAGGCACCAATGTATTGTAAAACTGAGGAGTTAGTAATTAGTTATAATGAATCAAAAGTCTAGGAAACGGATCACACATAAATGTCAAACAAATAGCCATCCAATTGAGCAATGTAATTTCTCAAGAAGATGGTGGGCATACAGTTTACTGATAACACTTAGCAAACTGATTGGCCTATAATTTGCAGGGTCAGCTCTTTTCCCTTTTTTATAAATTGGAATGATGATAGCAAGTCCCCAGTCCTCTGGTATACATGCAAGCTGGTTGATGCATGTAAATAGTGTTGCTAATACTGGGGCCCACCAATTAATACTGGCTTTAAGAATCTCAGGAGGGATGTTATCACTCCTGGGTGCTTTGCCTACTTTAAGCTCAGCAATAAGTCTGGTGATTTCAGAGATTGAAACTGGGGGCCAGTCAGGGAGATCATGGGAAGTGGTTTGTGGAGTCAAATGTCCGGATTGTTTTGCACCATATAGACCAGTAAAATATAGTTCCCAGGTCTTAACAGGTATGTATGAATTTGCTGCACCTACTTGACCATCTAACCCTCTTGAGACTATTTTCCAGAAGGTAACAGAGTCATGTGACCTTGATGCTACAATTAATTTCTGCCAACTCATCCTCAATGCCAAATTCTTTTTGTCCTTAATTCATTTTTTATATTTTTTCTTTAACTGAAACCAATCAGGTGGTAGGGATGGCAGGTTTGATTCCCTATATCTCTTATTCTAATAGTAGATACTTCATTTCCAGACATTCCTGATCGAAACATTGGATCAATGGGTTCTACAAAAAGGGGCATCCTGTCTTATGGATTTTTTATGAATCAAACATCCTTGTAGTGCTGTGACTATTTCTTGATATAGTTTAAGAACCTTTTCAGGGAAACATGTTTTCAAAAGGGACTCCTGCACTCTGAGATAGCTTTCCGAATGCAGGAATGCAGTTATAACATACTCTGCCTTGACTGACCATCTCACCCATATCTCCTTTTTATGTGTCTTTAGACTAGGTTTTTTAGCAAATCAAATCTAGAGCCTCAAACATGCTATTCATTACTCTCTATATATCACCCCTCCAGTACTGAATGCTGGATTCTGGATAGAGTCCTAATGTATAGGCAGTTCCTTTTGTTTTGATGTGAAGGTAAGTCAGATGCAATTGGCTTTTAGTTACAGTAGAAAATATATCGATGGGATATTGTAATCTTCAAGAATTACTGACTCCAAATGTCCAGTTTATTCTCTTGGAATACAGTGGTGCCTCGCTTAATGACGATAATCCATTCCAGGAAAAGCGAAAACATCGTGAAGTGAAAATAAAAACACAATTGAAACGCACTGAAACCCGTTCAATGCGTTCCAATGGGGTAAAAACTCACTGTCCAGCGAAGATCCTCCATACGGCGGCCATTTTTGCTGCCTGTATAGCGAGGAATCCATCCCTAAACACAGCGGGGAGCCATTTTAATCACCCAGTGGCCATTTTGAAACTGCCGATCAGCTGTTCAAGAAATGTCGTTGTGCAAAGAATCGGTTCTCAAAGCAGGGAACTGATCATCGTAAAGTGAAATTCCTCCATTCAGACCATCGCTTTGCAATCACAATTGCGATCGCAAAAAGATTGTCATTAAGCGGTTTGTCACAATGTGGGGCAATAGTAAAGCGAGGCACCACTCTGTAAGGATTCTCAGTCATCCAGGTGAGGTCATCTGGAAGATGAGTTGTGGCAACTAGACTTCCTTCTAGGTTGAAACGTTTAGCTACTCATCCAAGTAGCTTCTTCAATCTGAGGAGAGTTGGTAAGAGACCTCTAATATATCCTCCACATTGGTTTTACTTCCCCCTGGTCTGAATAGACTCTTTAGATGGACGAGGGGGGGGGGGAACTGAGTGAAAATCCCACTTCTGCAGTCCTTCTCCAGGGGAGTCAGGAAGGCCATACATGTGCATATAGAAAATCCCTCACTCAACAGGGGTGGAGGCCTTAGATACAATCTATCTCCTATTTATCATGCTGCCATTTCATCCATCTTCTGGAAGATTAGGACCACATACACCAGAAAGAAGGGGTGCAGAGGTCGGATTATCCTTTACCCCCAGTCCTTTGTCCATCTAAGGAGCTTATTCATACCAGGAGGAAATGAAACTAACACTTCAACATTCCTGGTTTCAACAAATGAAACCAGGAGGATATAGCTGGGGCCTCCTACCAACTCTCCTCAGACTGAAGAAGCTACTTGGATGAGTATCCTTATTCAGCTGAATAAGAAAGAAGTCCTGTTGCCATGACTCAACTTCCAGATATTCTTGTGGAACTATAAATAGCTCCCAAGCTGCCATACAGTTCATCTCACAACTGTCAAATTCCATGTGTACATTCATTTCGCCATTATTTTTCATCCCCTGAACTTTATTCAATGCATTCTATTCATC